AGTTTAAAGGAGTTTAAAATATAACAAAATGGTATCTAGAAATATTATTCGAAATAAAGAAAAAATTTGTTAAAAATTACACTGTGCGACAAAAATTCCATTTTGTTTCAATAATTGTAGGAAAAATTAAGTAGATTATAAAAGTAGTGATAACAAATTAAAATTGAATACCCTCCACCATTTGGAACGAATTTGGAAATAAAATCCTGAAAAAAATTTGGTAAAATTTTAAAAATACCGAATATTGCCGTTATATTGGTGCCTATACGACGTGGACCCACACAGGCATTATTTGTCATGAGTCATTACCAAATTCAAATTCGGAACTTAAAATAAACGCGAATAATGTAGATAAAATCAAAGTATAGAATATAGGGAGGTACCGTTATATCGGAGCTGTACGAAGACCTGAACCTCCGTAGACAATTTTTTGTCATATTCTGTAGCATCCATACGACATTTCAAACAACTTCGATGAGTATTGTACCTAAACTCATCAAAATACCGAATATAGGTAGGTACTGGTATATGGGGCCTATACGAAGACCTGGACCTGCATAGACAATTTTCTGTCACAGACTGGAATTTCCATTACGAACTCTAAATGCGTCATTTGAAAAAATTTTGGTGAATAAAGACGCTAAAATCACCAAAATACCGAATATAGGGAGGTACCGTTATATGGGGGCTATACGAAGACGTGGACCTGAACAGGCTATTTTCTGCCTTAGGCTGTAGTATCCATTGCGAACTTCAAATACTAAATTTGAAACAATTCCGGTGAATAATGTCCCTGAAATCATCAAAATACCAAATATCGGGAGGTACAGTTATATGGGGGCTATACGAAGACGTGGACCTGCACAGACAATTTTCTGTCTTAGGCTGAAGTATCTATTTCGAACCTCAAATACTAAATTTGAAACTATTCCGGTGAATAATGTCGCTAAAATCATCGAAATACCGAATATCGGGAGGTACCATTATATGGGGGCTATACGAAGACGTGGACCTGCACAGACAATTTTCTGTCTTAGGCTGTAGTATTATTTTCGAACTTCAAATACCAAATTTGAAACAATTTCGGTGAATAATGTCGGTAAAATCATCAAAATACTGAATATCGGGAGGTACCGTTATATGGGAGCTATATGAAAACGTGGACCTACATGGCCCATTTACGAACTTAGCCTGCCTACTGTAAAAATTAACCTGTGTGCAAATTTTTTGCCTTGTATCTCAATTCGTTCGAAAGACAGACAGACGGGCAGACAGACGGACATCGCTAAATCGACTTAGAATTTTACGCTGATCAAGAATATACTTTGTTGTGTCTGACATGAGTATTTCGAGGAGTTACAGACGGAATGACAAAGTTAATATACCCCCATAGTATGGAGGAGGGTATAAAAAGGAATGAATGAATCGCCATTTAATTAAAAAAAATTGTTAATTATTTCGGCATCATATCAATTCAAAATATTATTTGTCTTGAAAAAAAAAAACTTTTCACCTCAATTTAACGCCAGGAATTTAAAAGCACATTTAAGGGTTAAAGTCGTTTTTCATATGATTTTAAGTTAATTTCCTTCGACAAGACATATTTTAAAAAGGATAACGTAAAATTTCATTATGCGTCCCTTTGGAAAAAACTAAGATCAGATGAGGATCATATCAAAACACGGTCCTATATTGGTTATTTGCAGTGCAATTCTAAGAACATTTACAACGAATCTGAATTATATTGTATATAACATCCTTCTGAAATGGTGTTTTTTAGGCTCACGTGGAGGTGTTTGCATAAGCTCACATGGAGTATGGCTTTAGGCCAAAATGAGTTTTTAATATTTGTTAATTCCTGGAGTTTGGGTAAAATCTAAAATTTTAATGTATTCTCTGACCCATAGTATAATTTTATGAGAAATAATTTTGTAGAATATTTTGACTTTCTGCAATCCCGTTTAAAGACTGCCTTTAAAAATTTTTCGAAAAAGGGGCCAAAGACACGTCTTTGATACTTGCTTGAGGTTTAAACTATTAGACAAAAAAATCGTATTGTTATTTGTAATGTTGACCAAAAAACACACATTCAAATGCCGATACACGTGAATGCTAGTTATACACACTCCAACATTCTCTGGAGAGTATATTAACATTGTCATTCCGTTATTCTGGTTCAACGAGAAATTCCAAGGTGATTTACTGATGTCCATCTGTCTGTTGTAATCTTTCGAAGGAATAGATATAGGAGGCTAAATTTTTGCACACATGTGTATTTTGCTAGCAGACAAATTTTGTAAATGGTCCATGCCGGTCCATGTTCTCGTGTGGTCCCCATATAACGGTGCTTGTCAATATTCGGTATTTTAAGGATTCCAAAGACATTCTAAACCAGAATTGTTTCAAATTTGAAGTACAGCCTATGACAAAACACGGCGTATGCAGATCCACGTTTTTGTATAGCTCCCATACAACGATGCCTCCCGATATTCAGTATTTTGAAAATTTTGGCGACATTATTTATCGGAACTGTTTCAAATTTTCGTAAAAGTTCGTAATGGGTACTACAGCCTAATACAGGCCCACATCTTCGTATAGACCCTATATAACGGTACCTCCAAATATTCGGTATTTTTATGATATTAGTGATATTACCGGACCGGAATCGTTTCAAATTAAGTAATTGAAGTTCAGACACAAAAACTTACACAGGTTCTCGTCTTCGTAGACGATATTTTTTTACAGAATTTTTTTTCAAAATTTTTAAGTTCTTTTCAAATGGTGAAGGGTATTAAAAGCTAGGCCCGGCCGTACTTCGCTGTTATTTTATTTGTTAGCTCTACTTTCAATATTTATTGAGTATTCTCGGTAATTATCATGCCATCCACCTTGAAAAGTAGGGTATACAAGGAGGTCCGTCTGTCTATCTGTCTGTTAAAATCACGATACAGCCCACATTATATCAAAATTTGGCATAACAATTTGTATTGTGTCTAGGATGGTTGGTTTTGAAAATGAGATGAGTTTTGGTGTAGCCGCCATGATTAATGATTTTTGCCCCATTTTTTCACGGATTTGTCTAAAAATTGTATTTGTTGGTCATAATGGGCGGTCATAAACAGCGGCAGAACATATAACGATACCCACCGATGTTCGGTATTTTGATAATCCTAGTCACGTTTATCCACGAATTTGTTTCGAAATTTAATATTTATTTAAGAAGATTTGGTGGATGACAATCCTTGATGTATAAATTTTGCTATGGAGGTTGCCGTTTTGGTATGGCCCCCACACAATGGCCTCACCCACTGTTTAAGTTTAACAGCATTATCCAAACAGTCTTACTGGCATTTGTAGTTTAAAATGGAAAACGTTTGAATTCAGATATTTTTAAAATATTAATATTTTAATATTTTATTTTTTTAAAATATTTTCTTTACCCAATGGTGGAGGGTATTAACATTTCGGCCGGTCGAACTTAATGTGTTTTTACATATTTTTTGTGTTGCACAGTGTAATATATACAAAAGTTTAACATATTCAAATTAACATATCACAAATTAACAATTTCAAAATATTTTCCCTGTCTACATAAAGAGTGATTGAGCGTCGTGCAAAATTGGACTATTCTATATTAGATCGCTCAATTACGATGTTTGTTTATTTTCTAACATTTAATGAGAATTTTGGAAAATACAGCTCATCTCAGCCCAAGTTCAACATTTTAAAGTTATAGGCCAGACTAATTGATCCATAATAATACTATACATTGCTAACTATTAATACCAATCGCAACCTTAAAATATGAATTTCCGAAAATCACGCCTTACCTAGCCCAAGAGTAACACTTGAGCAAAATTTATTATTTTGGCTATTTTGACTTTTCAATAGAATTATTTCTCCTTTTCGTACAACTATTTCGTGTCTCAAAAAATCTGGCTTATGCATCACGGGTGACACTCATAGAAATTGTCAAAGTTCTACCTATTTTTTAATTGGCCTAAACACTTTTCGTAGCCTTGAAATACAGAATTCAAAGTTTTAGCTATTATCTAGAGCTCAATAACAATTTTGTATAATTTTTATACCATTAAGAAATTTTTAATTTTCTTAAAGAACTATTTCCAAAATATGCCACCCCCTTAACGATTTTCAATTTTCTTAAGGTTATAGGTATTATTGATCGATCCATAATAATGATGCATCATTATGTACCTGTTAGTACTTCCTGGTCCAAAATCCGGTCTTATAACAATCTTTATTGAAATTTTAACAATTCCAGCTCTTACCGATCCTTCAATACAAATCAAGAAAATATAACTGACCTTGTGAAGGACATGAGAAATTTTATTTTTTTTAAATCCACTATTTTTGGACAGAAAACACTCAATTTTCGCCAGGAAATCCTTAAAAAATAATCTTAGAACCCCATGTTTTTTACAAGAGCTTGATTTGTGATCAGGAATCCTTAAAATATATAATATATAATTTAAAATATATAATATATAATAAATAAGTCCTTCAGTACTAGACCACAATAGTCTCTAAAATAATGTCCTTAGCAAAAGTGTCCTTAAAATATTTGCAATAAAAAACAGAGAGCAATATTATTGGTAAGAAATTTTAAAAAATATTTCTAAAAGAATCAAGATTTTTTCTGAAGGTCGTTAAATTAAAATAAAAAAACTCCAAAAAATCTTGGCCAGTAAGTCCGTAAAATGCACTGTGTTTCGTACTAGAGCTATTAGTAAGAGCCATAAATTTTGTATGTGGATCCCTTTTCACTCATAAAATGCCTATTTCTCTCATAAAAGCTATAATTTTTTTCGCAGAGTCAGCCTTCGGTAAGATTATTGAGTCTCCAGAGATTAAAAATTTAATCCTTTGACGTAAAATTTTAGTTTTTTTTTGACAATATCTCAGTCCCTGAATTAGTCTTGAAGTTGTCGTCTTTAATTTCAAAATCCTGTCTTTAATTTACGAATATTTGTATATTTCAGCTTGGAATTGTTCCGTAAAGCCCCCAATTTGCGAATCCTGGCCTGCGGTGGTGATGGTACAGTCGGTTGGGTACTCTCCGTTTTGGATCAGCTAAATCCTCCCATACAACCCCCGCCTGCTGTTGGTGTGCTACCTTTAGGTACAGGAAATGATTTGGCTCGGGCCCTGGGATGGGGTGGTGTAAGTACTGAAAAAATATTCCAAAAAATACCATAAAACTAATATTATTTCTCAACAGGGTTATACCGACGAACCGATTGGTAAAATCCTCAAAGAAATCGGTATGTCACAATGTGTGCTCATGGACCGTTGGCGTCTGAAAGTCTCGCCCAACGAGGATGTGCCCGATGACAATGTCGATAAGAGTAAAGACAATGTCCCTTTGAATGTGATCAATAATTACTTCTCCTTCGGCGTGGATGCCCATATTGCCTTGGAATTCCATGAGGCACGTGAAGCCCATCCGGAACGTTTCAATTCTCGTCTACGTAATAAAATGTATTACGGACAAATGGGCGGTAAGGATTTGATATTGCGTCAATATCGTAATCTGTCACAATGGGTGACATTGGAATGTGATGGCCAAGACTATACGGCCAAATTGAAGGATGCCGGTTGTCATGCTGTGTTATTCCTCAATATTCCAAGGTAAGGAAGCGTGTCACAAAAATTTTGGAAATATCAGACAAATTTATGGTTTTAATAAAAAATGTGTGTGTGTGTTTGTGTTCAATTACAGCTACGGCGGTGGCACTCATCCTTGGAACGACTCATTTGGTCAATCAAAACCGGCCATTGATGATGGTCTCATCGAAGTTGTTGGCCTCACAACCTATCAATTGCCCATGCTGCAGGCCGGTCTCCATGGCACATGCATATGCCAGTGCCGTACGGCACGTATAACCACTAGAAAGACCATACCGATGCAAGTGGACGGGGAGGCGTGCCGGGTGAAACCCTCCATCATAGAAATGGAATTGTTGAATAAGGCCATTATGTTGGCCAAACGTAAGAGTCGTCATCCTGCCGATGTCCAGTAAGTACACAAATATAATAGTCATACTCAAAGGATGGATGTGGAGAAGAGTGAGCGAGGAGGTGGCATAAATATTTGAGTGGGTATGGGTGTGTGTGTGTGTAATTCCCATCCACCCAGGAAAAAGTCATTGCTTTTCATGCCAAAAATAGGGAAGAACTACTTGTTGTCGTCGTCCTTGCATTTGAAATGTGTCAAGTCTATGGATGACTACTGGTGTTGTGGTGGTGGTGTCTTGCCTGCAAGAGAAGTCTCTTAATTCAGGTCAATTTTCAAGACATTGCAGCATTGGTAAATCATATATGAGTGTGAATGTGTGTGTGCTTGTCTGTGTGTGAAAACATGCAATAAAACTGTTATCCCACAGTTAGATGACTTGTAGATGTTTACATCCTCAATCTTCAGCCTTCATATGGCGCTCGTCCCCTTTCTGCACCTCCCTCGACAGCCAATATCTGTTTTATATTGGAGAACGACCTAAGGACTTTGACATGCAATATATATTCCCTCCAGCACCATCAATTTCAAAAACTTAATTAAAACGGACACATACTTTCACGTTGTTTGGGCATGCATGTATGTGTGGTGGTGGAGGCATGTCTGATAGTTTTGTAATAGAAGTTGTGCCATACATACATTGTTGTCATTCTTGCCAGAAAGGAGTTTCGATATCGGAGACGTTAACTACAATTTCGAATAAGGATATTTCATTAGCATTTGTCAAAGTGACATTATTGAATTTATTGGCAGACAGATATAAGTCTTTAGTGAAATGGCGATCTCTGATAATATAGGTCAGTAGCTAAGAGAGGATTTATTCCGAATATTTAATTGAGAAGTGTCGGGACTTTAAGTTTTTCATATCTTTGTACTTCAAGGTCAGAAAAAGTGTACAAAATTCTAAAATATTTTTATTGGAACAATCAGTAAGAGCACACTTGGTGTACAGGGCTGAGATAAGACGCGATTTTAGGAAACTTGTATAATTAAGGGTAGAAAAAGTACTAATAGGTACAAAATTATTTTTCATTTTTGTTGGGCTGCGGGCTTTGTATAGGCGTGTAGTAAGGCTGGGTATTGTAAATTCGTACTGAGTAAATACGGAATGAGTTAGGATTCTGAAATTTGGAACTAGAGTCATTGATGGGGCGCAAGTTTTCTGAAATTCGAACGTTGAGGTTACAAAAAGTTCTAAAATTGTACCAAACTTCTAAAATGTAGTACCATTTGGTGTTATGTGAACGGATAGAGTTAAAAACTTGAAATTTGGTATGACAATCAAGGTTGGAAAGTAAGTTTGATATATGAAGGTGGTTTTCGAGATGAGTGCTAAATTTGCGAACTGTACTAAATGGTACTAAGTTTCGTTTAGGGTGTATGAAGCTGAAATTTTGTTTTAGGGTCCCTGAGGTGATAATTTTGTGATAAACAGGTGGTTTTGTAAATGTGTACTACAAGTGCCCGAAACGTACTAAATTGTACTATATTTGGTACAATTTGGTATTGGATGAACAGATAGTTTTGAAATCTGAAACTTTGTCCCTGTTCATGTGTAGCCTGGACAAATGGATGTAGTTTCGGAAATGTGTGCTAGATTTGCACGAAAGTACTTCGGAATTTTGTAAAGGTATAGAGAAAAAATTCTGAAATTTTGATATTTCAATTACTGACGGTATCTGTGTTAGAGATTGGGGTGTGGGGTGATTGAGGAATTGATTTGGAATCCCGAAATTTTATCTTGAGGTGTTTGTTGAGATTGGTCTTTGGAGGTGAGTTTGGAAATGTAATTGTACGAAAAATACTAAATTTGGTAATGGATAAAGGGATTGAACTGAAATCCTGAAATTGGATATAGGTGTCACTGTTAGTGTCAGTGGTTGAGATCTCTGTTGATTCTTAAGTTGAGATCTGATAGTGGTTTTTAATTGCGTACTATAATTGTACGAAAAGTGCTTTATAGGACGAGATTTGGATCACTATTGGAGTCTAGGATGGAGAGATATAGATTGTTTTGGATATGCGTACTAAATTTGATATTGGGTGTAGGGATAGATCTGAAATTCTCAAATTTGATATTGAGGCCAATGTTGGTTTCTAGTCTTTACGTATAGAGACGTTGAAATAGTTTTGGACAGAAAAAGTGAATATTGGTTTATTGTGCAATGGTTTTACTAATACCCTCCTCGGTTTTTATATCCTCCACCACACCACAGCCCACATTATTTGACGCAGAGCTTAAAAACAAGAGCAGGACAATTTGTATTGTGACTAGAATGGTTGGTATCGAAAATGCAGTACATCGGTCCACGTTTTAGAATAGCCGCCATATAACGGTACCTCCCCATATTCGGCGTTTTACATTTTTTACGGATTTTTCTAAAAATGGTATTTGTTGGTCGTAATGGGTTGTAGCTCCTGTGGCGAAACATTGTTGGTATAGGTCCACGTTTTGTATAGTACCCATACAACCGTACCTCCCGATATTCGGCATTTTGATGATTTTCTCCACATTTTTTCACGGATATTTGTATTTGTAGTTCGTAATGGGTTCTAGCTGTTGTGGCGAAACACGTTTTCTATAGCACCCAAAGAACGGTACCTCCCGATATTCGGTATTTTGATGATTTTCGCCATTTTTTTTTTAAATTCGTATTTGTAGTTCGTAATGGGCTCTAGCGCCTGTGGTGAACTTAAAGTTGTTTTACTTGTTTTTATTAAAATTATGTCTTTAGTTCGGAAGTATCGAATTGTCGTCAATGATAGAGCTTTGTCTTTTAAAAAATATATTTTCAAAACAGCCTTCGAAATTAACCTCCACTCCGTTACCTCAAAAAACCTCTTCTGTGGCAATAAAATGGAAATTTGCTTCCAAATTGAAGTACACAACTCTCCTGCAGAAAATAGATTTACACATAAGAGTCATCGTCTACTTTTAGGCGAACAACAAAGTATCAATCATATCATAGCTAAGAATAAATTTCCATTTACGACCTGGCGTTCGCAATGATATAATGCGATTTTCGAAGAACAAGTCATTGACAATTTATTACCTATTTGTTGTTGCTGAGGGTGTTGGTGGGGCAATGTGAACTACTATTGGAAATTCTTTAATAATTGAAATCTAAAGAGGACCAAAAGAAATTCAGGCCTTTTAAAAAATGGAAAAATCAAATATGTGATTTTTGAAAACAATGTAAAAAATATTGAAAAAATATATATTTTTTGCAATTTTTTTAGGAATTCAAAAAATTTTGAAAACGTATTTGTTTTAGTTGTATTGTAATAATTATAATTTTTTAAAAACCTAATTTTGAAATTTGTTTTTTTTATAAAATATTATTTACAGAGTAAATCCCTTGGAAGTTTTGCATTTGACCGTTTTACGCATCACCATGGACCAGTATGAAAAGTATCACTACGAAAAGGACATGCTGCGGAAGTTGGCCAATAAATTGGGTAAAATGGAAATTGAGTCCCAATGTGATCTCGAACATGTTAGAAATATACTGACACAGAAATTTGAAGAGTCCATACAATATCCGAAGGTGTCACAGGATTGGTGTTTCATTGATTGTAAGTAAATCGAGGATATTCGAAAACAAAATGGAAGTGAATAATTTTAAATCTCTCATTATTTACAGCCTGCACCGCCGAACATTATTTCCGCATCGATCGTGCCCAAGAGCATCTCCATTACATTTGTGACATTGCTGTCGACGAGCTGTACATTTTGGATCATGAGGCAGCCACAATGCCCCAGACGCCCGATCAGGAGCGTTCATTTGCCGCCTATTCCCAGCGTCAGGCCCAAAACGATAGCCGTCAAATGGATCAGCAGGGTACAGCAACCGGTACGAATCCACCCTATATCTATAAACGAATGTTTTGCCATTATTATTATCGTAAGAAACCAATACAAGTTTAAGGCGAACCGAACAGAACAATCAACAGCAAACCAAACCAAAAAAAAAAAAAATATCCCAAATTAGCCGCCAAAAAACATATGGGGAAATCCCACAAATTTTTTTTCGAAAGTACCCAACAAATCCTCTACAAAAGCAAAAAACACACAATTTTAGTTTATTATATTTTTTATATATTTAAATAATGTAATTTGTAAGTTGCAAATCTCTCAACCATTTGCTGATCATCTTTGATGAGATTTCAGCATACAGCTTAGTCCTTGCTGAATTGAGTATGTTCGTTTTGGTGAAAGAGAGTGCGCGTTATTATAAGTGTATCGAAACCGGAGAGAAAGAAAGAGAGCGATAAACTAACATCACATCTTGACAGCAAAGGCTAAACCGTATACCGAGATCCTTCCTCGTAACCAAAAAACCACCACAAAAAAAAACAATACCTCATAAACCACACCACCACCAACCAACCAACCAACCTACCAAACAACCTCTACTTATCTCCTTAACTCCAATTATAGGTAGGTTCTTCTGAACTATAATTATTGCTAGAAAATGTTTCACATGAGCGAGCTACTATGCTACACCATTCGAAGGGCAGATAATAGAAAAATAGTATTTTCCTGGATTTTATTTCATCACAAAATTTTGAAAGCTTTTGTTAATTGCCCTTCCCAGAATGGTGTAGAATAACAAATCTCAGACCTCACCCGGAAAATGTATTGCAAAGCATTTTCTATATTTCTCTCTCACACACCCACACAGTTACATTTGTCAATTTGGAAAATCAAACAACTTTTTTCAAAAGCAATTTCTGATATTTCAATTATTTTGCTTTTTTGTTTTTGGTCCGGTACAAAAAAAAAAATAAAGATGATGACTTAACCATTGGTTCGAGACCCATTAAAGTCATTAAATTTAAGAGGTAAACTTTTCAAGATTCAAATAATGCTTCTTGCTGCAAACGTTGGCTAGAATTTTGTAATATCGCTACGAAATATGCTTCCATGTAGTACACATTTGATGTGGTTTTTAAATTAATTATTTTAAAATAAATAACTTACAATTTTGTGCTGCAGCCCACATGATCGTCTCTTCAGTTTCAATGAAGATGTATTTGGTTATGGATTCAGGTATAGTTTTTTTTTTTTTTTTTTAATTAAAAATATTAAACAAATATACATATAACCACAATTATAACAAATTCATCGAAAAAAAAAACTATACAAATATTTTCGTGCAAAAATAGACTTCAAACACCAAGCACTGCAATAATAGCTTAAACCCTCAAAAATATTCAGTATAAGAGTTAAGAAAAATAGTATAACTCTTAGATATCGAAAGAAGAGTGAGTCGATACTATTGTATACTGTTAAATAACTTGTTTTATGACCAAAATCTATCGTTCCATATCTCGTATAACAGGTTATGAGGTCAGTATAACACTTACAAGTTTCAGCACAACAGTTAAGTTTTGAAAACAATGGTGGTTGTATAAGAACATCTGTGGATCCATATTAAAATTTGACGTATAACCGTTACTGCAGACCACTACTATCTTGAAACCTCAAAAACATTCAGTATAAGAGTTATAAAAAATAGTGTAACAGTTAGAAATCAAAAGAAGGATGAATCGATACTTGTGTAGACTGTTAAATAATTGGTTTTATGACCAAAATCTATCGTTCCATATTAAAATCTCTAGTATAACAGTTTTGAAGGCCTGTATGACAGTTAAATCTTTCAGTATAAAATTTAAGTTTTGATCAGAAATAACTGGTCTTATTGAAAAATCTTACCACCATATCAAAATTTGATATATAACAGTCAAAATTTGATATATAACCTCAAAAAAGCTTAGTATACGAGTTATGAAACCAGTATAACAGTTTAAAATCAAAAGAAGAGTGAATCGATACTTTTGTACATTGTTAAATCAAGCGTTTTATAACCAAAATTTCTCGTCCCATACCAATTTTTTTCGTATAACAGTTAAGAATACTAGTATAACAGTTAAATGTTTCAGTATAACAGTTATGTTTTGATCCCAAATAACTGGTTTATTAAAAAAAATCTTTCCATTATTGCAATACAAAAATAGTTTAAAACCTCAAAAAACTTAGTATACGAGCTATGAAAACCAGTATAACAGTTAGAAATCAAAAAAAGAGTGAATCGCTACTTTTGTATACTGTTGTTTTAGTGTCACAGCTAAGTTTTGTTTAGAAATGAATGCTTTTATAAGAAAATCTGTCGTATAAGAGTTGACGTATAACAGTTAACAGTTATTGCAGTACAAAAGTTGGTTTTTAAGAAAACCTGTCGATACATATCAAAAATTGATATCCAATCCAAAAAAAGATAGCCGATACTTTTGTACAATATCAAATAACTGGTTTCACGACCAAAATCTATCGTTCCTTATAAAAATTTCTTGTATAACAGTTTAGAGTTGCAGTGTAGCAGAAAAGGATTCAGGATAATATTTAAGTTTTGTTTAAAAATAGCAGGTTTGATATGGAAATGTGTTGATCCATAACAAAATATGTCGTATAACTGTTTTTAGTTACAGTATAACAGTGATAATTGGAGTATAATAGTTAAATGTCTCAGTATAACAGTTAAGTTTTGTTTTGAAATAATGAGAAAAAATACTAGAAAAAAATTGTAGAGTTCACAGCTTCAATATAGATATAACAGTTTAAAAATGCCCTGAAAGGACATACAGTTCCTATAAAGCAGCTGAAGGAATTTTTATAGACAAGATGATGGTATAAACTTTATCGTCTTCATTGATTGGTTGATCAAGAAGACCTTTCCATCCACCTATTATTATAGTTGGATAGAAAATAGTCTCATTTTATGATCTTAAAGGCATCTATACTTTTGTATAGACTCTAATAAGTATTAATATAAAAAAAGTATCGGGATCCGTATCAAAGTTTTGGTATAACAGTTTATAGTTGCAGTATAACAGTTAAATATTTCGGTATAACAGTTAAGTTTTTTTTTTCAGAAATAATGAGAAAAAATCGTGCCTATCATTGTTAAAAATGTTTACAAAATCCACAAGTTCAGTATGAGTATGACAGTTAAAAAATGAAAGACAGACCCTCAAAGAAAATTGAAGAATGTATAAATAGTGACAGGAATGGAGTGAAATGAAGTAGAAGAACTGCAACAATGGAACTTTGCAGACTAGTCTGTATAGAGAATCTAAAGTGATTGTTTATAGAAGTCGGAGGGAAATTCTTTGTTTGGCTACAGGAAGTCATTATTGAGAAACAAAAGAAAGTTCTTATATTTGGACAGAAAAGGGACTCAATACACAAGTTGAAAGGAGTCCTTAAAATGGAGCTGAAGGATGATCTTGAAAAAGTTAGAAGGAATCATTAAATAGGATCGAAAGGGCTAAAGTGAATCCTTACAGACAAACTGAAGCAAGACTTAAAAGCAGAACAAATGTTTCCCTACAGAGGAGCAAAAGAGAGATTTACAGACGAGCGAAAGATAGTCTTTTCTGACGACATCTTTGTATTAAGTTTTAAGTTTAAGTTTTTATAGATCAGCTGACGGAAACCTTTATAGGGGAACTGAAGCTACAAACCGACCTTAAGCAGGGAGTATTTATTAAGTGAGACAAAGCAGGCAGTCTTTATAGACAGAGCTTAAGCTGGCGGTTTTTATAGACCAAACTGAAGTAGGGAGTATTTAAAGACTGAACAGGACATGCAAGGAAATCTATGCAAAGGGAACTGAAGGGAGTCTAAATAGGATCTCAGGATTATTTTTTTTTTTTAATATTAGACAATTACAAACAATATTTAGTATAGGCTTCGAATACAAAATAAATACTCCTCTCATGCACTTTCGTATATATTTTCTTTAATTTTAAAATAAATTTTACTTTTATCTTAAGTCTTATTTAAAAAATATTTTATAATAATGATTTTTATTTATTTTTTTCTATTTTTATAAAAATCAAACATGTGTTGTGTTAAACAAAAAAAAACCAACCCCTCAATATCCTACAGTGCTATATTGGAGCAAACTTCCGATGCCATACTATTAGCTGCTCAAAGTGGCGATTTATTGATGGTATTCTATTCAGAGTTCCCTATTATATGTTATCCTAATTGTTTACCAAATTATAACAAATGTATGCCAGAAAAAAAAACGTTTTTCCAAAGTCCTTTATTTGTCCTTTGTAAATGTTGTTGTGTATTGTTTCGAAGGAAATATAAAAAAACAAAAAAAGTGTACTTTTATCCTTTCCCCATTATTGTGATTTTGTGATTTGGTATTTGTTATCCGTTTGTTTGTCCTTAAAGTTTATTGATTTTATTTATTTATGTTTTACTTAATTATTTTTAATTTTTTTTTACTGTATAAATTTTTCTCTAATTTTTTAGTTATTTTTTTAATTTTTCTTACTTTGTTCTTGTTCTTTTTCTCTACACATTTTTCAGTTACGTGCACTACATGAACAAGGATACTCATTGCAATCAGTTAATCGCAGCGGACAAACTGCTTTACATTTCGCTTGCAAATATAATCATAAGGATATTCTTAAATATATTGTATCGTGTGCATCACGCCGCTTAATTAATATCAAAGATAGAGAAATGTAAGTAGCTGTGAGAAAAAAATTTTAAAAAAGAAACAAAGGGATGATCAAAATAAATTACTGAGACATTTTAATTAAATTCCAAACTAATCGAAAAGATAATGACAATGTGAAATACATTATTTCACTTTAAAAATTGAAATTAGCCACTGGTATGTATGAGTAACACCATTAATCATACGCCACCTTTGTTTACAAAATAATATCGATCATACGAGCTATATTTATCACATGGGATATTCTATTAACATCACACACTTTTCCAAGAACATTAATAGATTTCGAAAAGCAGTCTCTGTAGAGAGCAAGGAGAATAGAGTCTGTTAAAGCAACTATGAGAGAATACATACAGGGTGAGATGAAAAAACTGCAACCAACCTCAGACTGCTGTCATGTATAAGCCACTCGTCCGAGAGCTGTTAAAATTGTTTCAGTGACAGCTCACTATATTGTTTACAAGCGTACAATAGCAATTTGGTGAGAATTTTCCTGAAAAAAAGCTATTCGAGATGGAACTCGAGCGAGATAGTGTGATTTCTATATATTTGGCTGGAAAATCACTAGTGGCTATCGTTAGAGCATTCCAGCATTTGAATGTGAATAGATCTTTTGTGTCTCGTACCTTCGCTCGTTACCGTGATACTGGTAGCGTAGCCCGACGTCAGGGAAGTGGACGGAAGAAAACAGCAAAATCAGCAGAAATGTTTCGAAAAATAATGAAGCGACTTGAAACCAGCGTCGCAGTGGCCGAAAGATGGCTCGTGAGCTGAAAACATCGCAATATTCCATTCGGCAAATATTGAAAAATGAGCTCGGGGTAAAGCCATTGAAATTCCAAAAAGTGCAAGAACTTATACCGCAACAGAAAGAAAATAAACTCAAAAGAGCTAAAGAGTTGCTTCGCTTGGCCGAAAGTGGTGAACTGCCGAATTTGGTTTTCTCCGATGAGAAAATATTCGTGTTTACTTGCCAAAGAGGTCAGCTGAAAATGTGTACTTTCGGTTGGCCAACAGAACTCAAGCGCCGGCCATGGTGATGGTGTGGGTCGCCATAACAGCCGAAGGTCACTCTCAGCTCGTATTAATCGACCGTGCCATCAGAATATATGCCGAATATAATCACAAAATTATTCTGGAGGGTGTATTAAAGCCTTGAGCACGCAAACATTTTGGCCGCACACCTTGGACATTCCAACAGGACTCGGCACCATCGCACTCAGCAAGCGCAACCCAAGAATAGTTACAAAATGAGGTTCCTCGCTTCATTTCCAGCGCACAATGACCACCAAAATCTCCCGATACCAATCCGTTGGACTATTGTGCCTGGAGCATTTTGGAAAGCAAAGTTGGTACTAAAAAATATCAAAGTGTCGATCACCTCAAGCAAGCTCTTCACCGGGAATGGGCCAAAATACGGCAGAGCAACATTCGGGCAGCGTGTGACGGTTTCATTGGCCAAAGGCGACCAATTCGAACAAATCTAAAATTATTCTAAAATTTGATGCTATTTCCGACATTTTTTGCTTTCATTCAATAAAATTTAAAAAAATGTAAAAATTGTTGCGTTTACCTTGTTGCTGTTTTTTTTATCTCACCCTGTAATAACGAGTACTAATAGATGACAGAAAGTGAGTCTTTAAAGACGACCTTAAGTTGTCTTCATAGACCCACTCATGGAAGTCTGTATAGACCGATTGAAGGGGGTTTTCTTCCATGAAAAGATCTAAAGATCTTCTATAAGAAGATCTACAGAAAAGATCTAGAGATCTTCTATGAGAAGATCTAGAGATCTTCTATGAGAAGATCTACAGATCTTCTATGAGAAGATCTACAGATCTTCTATGAGAAGATCTACAGATCTTCTATGAAAAGATCTGCAGATCTTCTAATAAAATTGTTTTACAGATCTTCAGTAAGAAGATTTATAACTTTAGAGTTATAATCTACAAAACGTCTGTCCAAGATGGTCACAGATGATCTTTCCTCCCAAATTCGAAATTTAAAAATTTTAATTTTGTTCTTTTCTTTGATGTTTGCTTTACTTCCAGGGGACAAACAGCCTTGCATGTAGCAGCCCAGCATGGCAGACGCGATCTGTGCGTAATATTAGTTGCAGTCGGAGCTAATGTCGAGCTACGAGACATGAATGGGAATACAGCGATGATGGTGGCATTCAATAAAAACTACACTGAAATTGCCTCCTATTTGGAAAGTAAGAGCTTTCAAAAATAATTTCAAAAACAAAAAATCTTAACGCAACTGATGCCAGCGCAACAACAACAACTAAAAAGACCACTTATTCAACAAAACAAAAATACATTAATATACTCATACATAGAAAATCAACAAGAACAACAATCATTAGCTTCTTAATTTCTAAAATAGTTTAAGCAGAAAAAAATAGTAATAATTTTTTTCCTTAATTTTTTTTTTTTCAATTATTAATAATAGTTGTGTCTCTGTAGTTTTTTGAGAAAGTAGTCCCATAAAAACTAAAAAAAAACACAAAATAATTTCAATTCACCGTAGATGCTAGATGAAGTAAAATACAAAAGAACTGTAAAGAATATATTTATAAAAAATATTTAAACTAATGACAACATTTTTTTCTATTTTTTTCCAATAATGCACACGATTTATTTATTTGGATGTATTTTTTCACAACAAAATTCTTATGACACCAACACAATACTGAAATTTGATTATAACATTTATAAAATTATTTAAAAAAAAAAAACAAAAAAAAAACATTCCATTCATTATAATTTGAAATAATAATGATAATTCTTAAATATAAATTATTTCTCTTTTTTAATTAATTAATTTAAGGCCAAGAAAGATTTTTACATATGGGAGATAATATGAACTTGAAGAAAAAATAAATGAAGCAAAAATTTCATTAATTTAATAAAGCGTAAAATAAAGAAATAAATCTTTTTTTTAAATAATATTTATGATAATTACAATTCATGATCTTCTTTTGAATAGTTGTTAAGTTAAAAAAAAAAACTAGAATTTAGGGTATAAAGGAAATACTTCTTTAAAAACGAGGTTAACGGTCTAATAAAAATTATAAAAACAAAAAATTACTAAATTCAAAATTAAAGACAGAACTCCCAATCTATATATTTTCAAATAATTCTTTAAGAATTTCCCTTATTAAAAAAAGACCCAAATTACAGTTGAAAAAAATATTTTTTGGAAACCATTATTGTGATATAAAATTAAAAACAAAAAAACAAAATAATTGAATAAATAACAATGAAATGTAACTAAAATTATAAAGACATATAGGATTTTATTTTATAAAAAAAAATAAGAAATAATTAATTTTCGAATTTGACATATTTTTTGATAATATGAGATTATCAGAGACTCTAATTGAAAAAATGTTTTTCTAATTTTAAATTGAAGGGTAACATTATAAAATTAATATTACAATAAAAAAATTAAATTAGTAATAAATTACAGAAATTAAAAATATATATTTTAATTTTGACATTATTTGACATTCATTCTAAGTTTTAAATAAAAAAATGTTTTTTTTTAATCCGAAAATTAAAAAAAAAATATGTTTATTGTATTAAAAAATTAATTTATATGGCAAGACATCTTCCAAAAAGTTCTCAAATTAAAAACGTATAACAAATCCTGCCAAAGTTATATTAAATGCTGGATATTTCTGTCTATAAAAAATCTAAAGAGGTTCTAGAAGTAGATTTTTGAACGATTCTAAATCTCCCACAAAAATATATACAGATTTCCTCAAAGTGGAGGCACACATATTTTACCTCTTCTGGTAAGAAGATGATTTTCTGTAAGAATAGTTTAGTAAAAATTAGCTACAAATTTAAAATCCATATATATTTTGCATAAATATCTTACTAAAGAAAAAGGTCTAGGTCAGGGCTGCGAGAAAAACCAAAATTCTATATAAAAACTTCGTAAATTTTCTCTGAGAAGATATGAAAAATATCTACAGATTCTTTTAAGAAAATCTGCAGAAATATGTTCATATGTTTATTCATTTAAAAAAATTCTTAAAATTCGGATAAATCCAACATCGAATTCAGAATTCAGTCTGACGCAATTTTTCAATTTTATGGGATAGGATTATTTACATACTTTTAGTTACTGTTAATATTGTCAAACTATCGAGTTTAATTATTACTCCGAAGTACAAACTCGTACCCAAGAAAATAATGTTTCCTATTCGAGTGGATAGTAAGATTTGTGTAAAACTTCTATTTATCAAGCACTCCCGTTTGCAAGTAAAATCAAAAAAATTTGAATTATTGTTTCTATTTAAATTACTTGTCTTAGACTTTATTTGGATTTAAAAAAAAAACCTATGAGGAACTTAAAAAAACATTTTCAAGAAATTGAAAAGATTATGCTTTTTTGCTATTAATCACAGAACGTTCATGTTTGAAATTTTTTACCACACAAGCGTCTTGGCATTTTGTTTTACTCCAACTTCAAACACCTGGTTCCTTTGTGACTTTCTCTTACTTGTCCTCCCTTTATTGTGCGTCAATAATAATAATATACTTAAACAAATATTTGGGGAACAGCACATATTTATTGGCGCCCAACGTGGTGAATGATATACTTAGCCAATCCAATTAAATCATAACCATAGCAAATCTTTGAACAATAGACAATTCTTGGATTTTTGCCATTTTAACTGCAATTTTCAAAAAAAATAATACTATTCTAGAGTTTGTGGTATTTTTATGGAAGATTTCTAGGAAAATGTTTGAAAAAGATGTTTTCAATTTTGACATAATTTTATTCAGATTTATTTTTAACTTTCTTGCCAAAAATTATAACTCAATGGCGCCCAACGTGGGGAATATTAAATAAAAACAAGTTTGAGTACTAAGGTCTACACATATACATTTATAAATGCGGTGGGTGAATCCAAAGTGGGTAATGGCAATGGATAATCTAAATCAAATCATTGCCCTTGCCACCATTCGACCTAAAAAATTTGTATACTTTTTGGCAACATTTATAATTCCAGTTTTGTCTCAAAATGTTATTGTTTCGAAAAAAATAAAATTCAGTGCTACCCAATGTAGAAAAATAATTAAAAAATGTATTGAAAAAATATTTATTTTCTTTGAGAACGACTTAACAACAATTTTATTATTTTTGTTTTGTTTCATTGAGCAGTATTTTCGATCAATGCTTTTTATGAAAAATTCTAGCGGGAAGATTTCCTGCAACGAATTTGGATAAATAACATTAAGATTGTCTGTTTTACTGAAAAAAAAAAATAATTCATTGGCGCCCAACGTGGGAAGTATTGAACAAAGAAAAGTTGAGGACTAGAGGTTTGACTATAATGAATAATAACAAATTTTAAAACTAACCGATAAATTGTAGGTCCTTTGGAACAAGAGAACAAATTTACAACAAATTTCCTGAAAAAAATAATTCAGTGGCGCCCAACGTGGGAAGTATTGAACAAAGAAAAGTTGAGGACTATATAATGAATAATAACAAATTTTTAAAAGTAGTCAACAAATTGTAGGTCCTTTAGTCCAACAAATAGAGAACAAATTTAATTTGTTTTAGAAGATGTCTTGCAGAGAATTAAAATACATAATTTTTCCAAATTTCTTCTAATTTAAAAAAAAATAATTCTATTGTCTATCTTGCTGAAAAAAAAAACATTAAAATAATTGTTTAACAAAGACCAAATTATTGAAATAAAAACTTTTTGTAATATAATTCACAAAATTTTAAACTTAATACCACACACATATACATTTTTATTAAAAAAATATATAAAAATTTAAATCAAAAACAATTTTGCAATAATAAATTATTTCATAAAAAAAATTAATTCACCAAAATTAATTAGAAAACAGTGGTAAGAAACTGAAATTTTAAAAAAGTACATTTTTTAAAATTTGACTTTCTTAGAAAAAAATCAAAAATTGAATTATAATTACTTACCATATAATTTAAGGTATTTTTTGCTTATAAAAAAAACTTAAATTAGAAAAAAAAAACAATCTATTGCAAATTTTGTAGCCCCTAAAAGTTTGGCAATACATTGTTTTTGAAAGTAAAATTAAAAAAAAAAAACTAAAAATGGAGATCTTAATTTCAATTGCAAATTATGTCCAAAAAAATTGTAAAAACCAAATCATATTTGTAGAAGACGAAGACAATCTTTATTAGAGAAAAAAAAAGAACAACAAAAACAAATATCCCAATATAGATTAACTACAAAACGACGATATTTCAAAGAAACTGCATTACGCGATTTCTTCTGTTGCGGTTTTTTTTTTATAAAAACTCTAAAACAAAAGACAATTTGTATAAACAGTTTGCTATACATACTTAATACTTTTTAATGAAAAAAGAAGAAGAAACAGAAAAAAATTGGAAAAAAACTACAACCAAGAAAAGCAATTTAGTATTTAATTATTTCAAGGAACGAAATTTGTCAAACAAAAATTTTATAAATGTTAAGGTGAAATAAAAAAAAAACATCACAACTTCCTAAAAGACCCTTTCTAAATAAGCTAACTTAATCTAAACGAAAAACAAAAACAAATGAATTTCTTAAGTAATAACAATAAAACAAAATAAAAATATCTATGACTTTTTATATATACATACATACATACATTAACAAGCACCTTGAATAAATATTTATTTTTCCAAAATCGAACACCTAAACTAATTATAAAGAAAAACAAAACACTTGTTCGGAGTTTAACCGGGTCCAAGGAACTAAAAACTATTTTAACAAACAAAAACAACTAAGTAAAGAAGAATCATAAAAAACCCAAATTTACATGAAGAACCTAAAAATAATTCTTGGAAAAAAAAACTTTGAAAATAAGTTTGTGATTTCGTTAAAAGAATCCCTAAAAATATGCATCAATATGAAAACATTTTTTTTTTTAATCAAATGAGAATTATATTTTCGATTATTTAACTGCATAAAAATTTCCTCAATCAAAACATTTTCTATTTTCAAATAATCTTCGCTAAGATATAAAAAATATCGATAAAAAAATTAAAAATTGGAAATTTGTCATTTTAGGAAAGTTGCGTTTAATAACAATTCGAACCCTTACTTTGCACACAGATCATTTAACTCAATAAAAATGTTCTCAATGAAAACATTTTCTATGAATCAAATGGGATTCGCAAAAATATAAAAAAATTCGGATAAAAAAAAAAAATTGGAAGTGAAGTAATCAGAATTCGAACCCGTTGTGAGTGAGACACCAACCAAACGTGTCGTGCTAGACTCAATACTTATGCAAATATTACATTGCGCGACTTTTTAACGAAATCCGAAACTCACTTAATTTTCAAATTTTGATGCTAATATTACACCGGATTTTTTAATTGAAAAGAATAATATTGGAAATCGGGAGATTCTTTCAAAGTTACAATTATTTTTTTAATCTGGGCTCTTTATGATGACTATCTGGACCATTTATGATGAGCAAATATAGTTCTCATATGATTTGAAAAAAATATATAAAAACATCTATAAATAGTACGAGTTAGATATATGAGCAAGGGAAAATGCTTTAAGAATTTCCTCACAAAATCTGGAAGTAGATTAACAATTCATTCTAGCTTTTACAAGGACATTTTTCGATTGTTTTCAAAATATTGAATTTTGATAACAACTAGCATTTGCTTTGAGATCAGAATAAACAAAACAATGACCTTTTCATATGTTATATTTAAAATTTATATAGCATACTTTTAGGTGCTCTCTACAATTCCCAACAAAAAGGAAATATATGATATACAATTCTATATATTATATATATTCTATGACAAAACACTTATACTAGAAATCTACATGAAATTTCTTTCTAATTTAAAAATTCATGTGAGCGTCTAGAAGTATGCTATAAAATGTCAAAGTTAACTTTTTCAAAAATAAACAAATCGTAATTATTTTTACAGTTTTAAATGACTTTAAAAAAAAAACTAAAAATAAAAATACTAAAATAATTTAAAATGAAAAAAATATATGGAAAACTAAAATAACACATTTTTTGCTTGGTCAAAACCAAAAGAACTTTTTTTTTTTTTTTTGTTTTAAAATAATTAAATTTTGACTAGTAGTCGATAGCATAACCATTATTTTTAAAAGCAGCGGCACACCTACGAGGCACTGAATCTGTAACACGCTCAATTTGATCCTTGGGTATGCTTTCCCTGAATTCTTTGGAAAATGTTGCGTTTATTTGTTTCCGAATCTGGCTTGATCTTCCTGTCTACGATACTCCAAAGGTTTTCTATGGGGTTTAGGTCAGGTGATTGTGCCGCCCATGACAAAACACCGATTGTTGATTCCCGCAATCAATCTTTGATAAGATTTGATGCATGTTTGTGATCATTGTCATGCTGAAACACCCATTCCGTATCTGAGCCTTTAATATTAAACTTAGACTCATCGCAGAATAAAATATTTTTCCATTGAGCTGGATTCCAATTAATATTATCGTTTCCGAAAGCCATCCTGGCTGCCCGATTTTTTCAAATACAAATGGCTTTTTTGATGGCTTAGGGGCACGCAGACCAGCTGCCACTACTCGTGTACGCACTGATCTCGAGTTTATAACCAATTATGGCTCTCTCACCAATTCAGTTGAACTCTTAAATGGTTGTTTTTTTTATTTATCTCACAATTTGTTGATCAGTACGATCTGAAGTTTTTCACGGCCTTCATCCGTTAAAGACTGTTACTACTGATCCAGTTTCATAAAACCGCCTTAATATACGAGAAATCCCAGAAAAGTTTATGAAATATTCCTCGGAAATAATTTTCAGCG